AGAAGAAGAAGAAGAAGAAGAAGAAGAAGAAGAAGAAGAAGAAGAGAGAGAGAGAGAGAGCCACTCACAGAGGCAATCCACCCATATGCATAAACTCCTCTCCCCCCTTTCTTTCCTCTCCCTCCCCCTGTCTCTCCTGTCCCTCCCTCCATGTATGTATATATTATGTATGTATGTTTATCCTCATGAGCTTCCAAAACCCTTTCCAAGTTCCCTAACAGTTTCTACTCATTGCATTTCAGTTCATGCATTTTCCTCTAACTATGTATCAAAGAGGAAGTCCCCATGACAGTGTCAGTTGATACTGCCGAGCCCAGTGGGGTCCCACCTTTCCCTTCACCTTTCTCTACAGCTCACTGCTGAGTGTGTCCCACCCCCTGACAGCATGTACTTGGTTGTTTAAACCCCACCAGTGGAAGGCCATCTGTTTCGATGCCCCTGTGTCATTTCAGTAATTAGAAATGTATTTGATACATGGTCAGCACTGGATAAAATTTTGGAAGAAGTTGAGAGGAAGGGCAAGAGGGGAAATGGGAGTAAATGGATGGGGTGCGGAGGGAAGGGCAAGCAGAGGGGGAGAGGAGAGGAAAACTTGTGGGAGGGAGGGAGGGGTGGCAGAGGAAGGACACTGTAAACAAGGTACATAGCCATTTCTCATCCTTGCTGGTAAACTGAGATCTCTGACTATGGCCACACCATCTCTGTACCTTTGAAATCATACAGCAGTTAGCACAGCATGGTCAATTAACACTCAAATGAGCACACATATTTGTTTACATTGTTGGTCTTCAAGAGGAAAACTAGTTTCCCCAAAAGAAAGTCATGTAACCCCAACACCTTACTTGAACCCAATCAAAGTCCAGCAGAAAATCCAGTGGTAATATGGATATCAGGTAAAAGACAGAAGAGAGAGAGCAATGGGCACTTATTCATGTCAAAGACATCATAGGGAGGGCAACGGGCACCTATTCATGACAAAGGCAGCGTAGAAAGAGCAACGGGCACCTACTCATATCAAAGAGGTCCTTCCGTGGGCTGCTCTCAGTGCTGCTGCTTGCTGCTGGCCAAACCTGTGGAGGGACTGGCTGGGTGTTGACATAGGTCGGTGTCTCTCCTAGCAGAGCCATGTGCCCTTTCCCTTCTGGTGTGCTGTAGATGTCCAAGGAACCTGCACCAAGAAAGTGAGCCCTGTTACCTCTTACAATGGCAACATTTTTCCAGCCTCTGTGTCTGGAATACCTGGAATTACACAGAGCTGTTCCTTAAGCTTGCTGGTGAGAACATTTATTTGTAGTTAATTCTCTTCTAAGCCTGTCAGTACCCAGCCCCACTTAAGACACTTCTCAGTTCTTCATGTCAAAAAAAAAAATCTGCCAGTCAGGGTGAACACTGGTGGTTAAATGCCTTGCTCAATATGGCTGACCAGGTTGTTGGTGCTCCTGGACCCTAGGAGCTGAGCATTGAGTAACAATGTGACCTCCCAGTGAGCCAAAGGGGTGCTGAGGCTAGGTCTGGGGTCTCAGCTGTTTTGTCAGAGGTAATATGGAAAGTGTTACCCAAGAGCACCGGCTTGGGTCACTCTTTCTGTGAGTTACCATCTCTGCTCGCTTGTATAACAGAAGCCTTGTTAAATTCCTCTAGGAAGGATGGTTACTGGCAAACAGATGAATAAATTCTCATTTATTCTGGGGAGAGCATATCTACCAGTTTCAAATAAGATCTTGAAGCTGGGTGAGTTGACTCATGCCTGTCACCCCAGCTCTCAGAAGGCTACAGCAAGAGGATCACAGCAAGTTCAAGGCCAGTCTGAGCTATAACTTTGCATCGCCAAACACTAAAACAAACTTAAAAACGAAAAGAAAAATCACACAAGAGCTTAAGACATACGAAGCTGTGGAGTCTTGGGTGCCTGCCGAATTTTCATGTTCCTGATGTCTCCAGGGACTCTCGCTCCTACTCACGGGGACCAGAGAAACCCATGGTCAGTGCATCAGCTGTGTAGAGCAGGCTCTGCCGCTTACCTTGCCTGGTGGGTGCTCGCTGCCAATCTTCACCAAAGGTGTCTCCTAAGTGTCTTCCCTGGTAGTAAGTTTGCTCTTTCCCTGCAAACTGGAGACAGATGTGGATACTCAGAAAGAGGGAAGTGTCTTCTCATTCCTCATCTTTGTGAGCTATGGTGTGGTGAGGGGGGCTTTTGGGGAGTTGATTCATCCTCTCTGACATCACCTTTCCATGCCTGTCTCACAGTGGCCTTGTATTCAAAAGATAACCTTGCATAGTTGTAAAAAAAAATCCACAATCTCATTAATTCTACAACATTTTCTCCTTGTTTTCATGACCCCAATAATCCCTCCCAAGGGCGACCACAGAGAGATCTTGGGACAGCAGCTGTCCACTCTCCGAGGAGCACACTCCTGAGAAGCAGGAAGCTGCAGTGCCACAGCCTCCATGTCGGCGCTGTCCTGGCATTTTTATGGGTACCAATAACCTTATTATCTCCAGGGTTGGAAACGTAGCTCAGCTCACCAAGCATATGACCCCGGATTTCATCCCTAAGTGTCACAAAAAAGAGGGGGAGAAAAATCTCTTGAGCTTCCATAAAAGACAAAAATGTAATAGTTTTAGAAAGCAGGGCTGAGGTGAAGGGTGTTTGAGCTGGAGGGTGTGAAAGCTCACTGTAAGTGACAACTTGATGCAACCTAGAAGAGACAGACCTGGGAATGGGGTCCCAATGAGGGATTGCCTACATTCGCTTTATTTATGGGAATGTTAGCGGGGCATTCGGCCTTTGAAGTAAGTTGGAAAAACCGAGACCACTGTGCGCTGTTGCACTGTCTAGGCAGGGAGGCCTGAGCTGAATTAGAGTGGAGGAAGTGATCTGAGCACAAGCGAGCACGCAGCATTCACGCACACCTCTTCGCCCTTGACTGTGGTTAATTCACGCACACCTCTTCGCCCTTGATTGTGGTTAATTCACGCACACCTCTTTGTCCTTGACTGTGGTTAATTCATGCACACCTCTTTCCCCTTGACTGTGGCTAATTCACGCACAACTCTTTGCCCTTGACTGTGGTTAGGATGTGGCTCGCTGCTTCAGGCTCCTGCCCCGACTGCCCCACAGTGACATAGCTTGCATAGCCCTTTTTTCCCCTCAGCTGGTTAGAGTTAGGGTATTTTATCATAGCAACAGAAATGAAACCGGACCAGAGTGGTGAATAAACAAAATAGAAAAAAAATAATGCTTAAAATTCAGAACTTAAGGGGACGGGTCCACTCTCTTCAGGGAGCCCACATACCATGGGTCTTTTAAAAGCCTGGGATCCTGCCATCCCCTTGTTAAAACCACAGCATGGTGGAATTGGGGCTCAGACTCAGGTCACTTTTATTCATGTCTCAGACATGGCACTGGGGTTCTGAGGCACTTGGTCAGTGCACTGTGAGGTCAAACCGAAGCCCTCCCTTCCATGTTCTTTGTGATACTGGTAGAAGAAAGCCTGCGAGGGATCATGTCCAAAGCTAAGTGGAGTATCAGCCAAAAACAACACTGAGGAGGATAAATGCAAATGGGGTCATCTTTGACCCAAGAAGAGAACCCCAAACTTACCTGGGCTGCGTCAGGAGCGTGGGGTCTGGCTTTCAATCGAGCATCAAGAAATCCCCCTGGAGGGGGCATCTTGCTGGGAATGCTGTTGTAGTATGGGTGATCAGGACCATCTCCCTCCTCTTCAGTCCATGGCTCATCTAGACTCTGCATTCTGTTAAAAGATTTTCAGTGACCTTCACTCAGAATTGAGCATATAGGCAGACCTAATGACTCTGACATCAGTGCCGCCTATAGTAACCAAACATTGAGTATGGTTTAAGTGTGGCCTCGAACACACACAAGCTCATGTTTTGAAGGTTTGGTCCCCATGGTGGTAATGTTACAGGGTGGTGGGATCTTTAAGAAGTGGAGTCGCTCGGTCACAAATGAGACATCTACATCACCCCATCTGTTACTACCCTCCCTGTCCCTCCAGTACTTAGGGGTCATGCAGAAGAGCAAGGTAGAAATATCCTAAGCCCTGAAGGTTGGAGAGGTCCAGAGCAAAACACTGTCAACTGTACAAGTTGGGGCCACACACAACTAAAAAAATAAATATTTTCCAACAATGAAATAAACTGTAAGATCAGTACTGTTGAGGTATCTTAGATAGCCCTGTTACTTGTATCCTGTGGTAGCCTTATAAGCTAACAGCTATCAATCAATGATAACCATCACCCAAGTAGTCACAGATGGAACAGTTCGGAGCCTCCTTCAAAAGCTGGTTCCCCTCCCCCCAAAAAATATCATTATTCTCCTTGTCTGTGATGGTATGAAAGAAAATGGTCTCCAAAAGGAGTGGCACTACTAGAAGGTGTGGCCTTTGGGAGGAAGCATGTCACTGTGAGGGTGGGCTTTGAGGTCTCTTTTGCTCAAGCTTCCCTCAGTGTGCCTATCAGTTGACTTCCTGTTGCCTGAAAGATGTAGGACTCTCAGCTGCCAGCTGGACATCTGCCTGCATGCAACCATGCTCTCCGCCATGATGATAATGGGCTGAACCTCTAAAATTGTGGGTGAGTCACCCCATTTAAATGTTTTAATTTGTGAGAGTTACTGTGGTCATGGTGCCTCTTCACAGCAATAAAAAACCCAAGACACTGTCTGAGTGTTCCTTTGAGCACCCAGTTCCCCAAGCTGTCTTTTAAAAAATTTACTTTTAATTATCACATAGTAATTTTGCACATTTATTATGGGGTGTTGTGTGCTAACTTGATACATTTATACAACACACAGTGACCAAATTAGAGTAATTAGCATTCCCATCTCCTTAAGCACTTATCATCTGTTTGTGTTTGCCAAAGCTGTCTTTATTTAACCTGATGCAGAGCTTGCCTGGGGCATCTGTCAAAAATATTCAGAGGCAAATGTTTATCATGTGGCCCACATGAAACTGGGAATAACATTTGGGTCAAAGAATTTTTATTAGTGGAAGTGAGTGAAAAAGAATATAGAGTTTATGGAGTTAGAGGGGGAACAGCCAACAAAGCAAATAGCCACAACCAATGGCAATCACAAGCCTAAAATAAGAAGCTGGGATGTTAATAAACTCCCACACATTTATCTAGAAGGCTACACATTTTCCACTATTTGCAGGGTTCAGCTTCTGCTCATGCCACAGGGGGTGACATGGCCCTAAATTCTCGCTTCTTACCTAAACAGCTCACAAATAGAAGGTGAAAACAAAAAAATATTCAACTGATTCACCATATGTTGAAGGAGTGCACCAACACACACATACACACAGATATACATATACACACATATATAATACACATATACATAGAAGGCATATGCATACAGATACATACATAGGACACACACAAACACACATACATATACACATGCGCACATATAACATATACATGTGTGTAAATATACATGGAATCATATGCACATACACATGTTCATATATACATGCACACACATGCAGCTCTTCAGTAAAGACTGACAGGCTAAACTGTTCAACATTCAAGGAAACCCCTGTAATTGTTAGTGAAGGAACGTAGCTAACCAAGTGGAGACATCAGTGGACATAAATGACAAGTGTAGATTATAGAATTTATATAATTAATTAAATGAAGTCACTAAAACCACCACAAACATTAATAACATACATCCTGGAAAGAGAAAATATATAAGATTCAGTCTTGCAACCTTCTATTACTTACATTTTTAGTGTCAGCAAAAAAAATTATAAACTATAAAAAAAGAAAGGATAGCTCATATACAGGAAAAAGAAGTCAGTAGACAATGTCACAAAGAGATCTCAGACTTAAGGATAAATAAAAACTAAATATGTTCAATCAATTAAAAGAAATGACTCTAAAACACTAAATATGAAAATTGTGTCTCACAAAGTGGGGCTTACCAGCATTCATAAAGAAATAAAATAACAATAAGTTCTAGGATTGAAAATTCTACCACCACTTCAAACAGTTCACTTAAGCAAATAACAGGTTTGGGAGGTGGAAGAAGAAAGGCAACATTTTAAAATAACTCAGCTGAGATGAACCAGTCTGAGGAACAGGGAGGAAACTACCAAAAGTGCACAGAGCCTGAGAAACCAAGAATGCCAACATGTATGTAGTAGAGTCCCTGACACAGAGCCTGAGAGACCTGTAGAATACCAAGAATGCCAACATGTATGTAGTAGAGTCCCTGACACGGAGCCTGAGAGACCTGTAGAATACCAAGAATGCCAACATGTATGTAGTAGAGTCCCTGAAGGAGAGCAGACTGAAGAGGGCAGGGAAAATACTGGCCTCATTACGGCACAAATCTTCCCAAATCAGCTAAAAGAAAAGGTTGTTCTATACAACCAAGAGGCTAGCTAAAAAGTTCAGCTTGGATAAACTCAGAGAGTCTTATGCACCCTAATCTAACTATTTAAAGTCAAAGAGGGCATCCGGGGGAGATGCTCAAGAAAACAAGGGATCCTCATGGTATTAATTGCTGATTTCTTCCCAGACACAAAGGAGGCCAAAGGCAGGGAAAAGGAAGATTTCTTGTCATGAAGTCCACATCCAAAAAGCAATGCTGTCAAAATGAGGCAGAAAACATATTCCAAGGGAAGTAAAAGCCAGAGAAATCCACTATAGAAAATATCCTCCTTAGGAAATACTATGGCAAGTATATTAAGCTGAAGCTAAGTGGATAATCAGTAGAAATGTACAATCAAAGGAAACAGCAGAAAATAATGGCAAGTCTATCTACACAAAACTATAAATTCAGTGTTGTCTAAAATTTCCTTATTCTCCCCTTCTCATTTAAAAATACACGAAGCAGTGTGACTGTATTGATGAACACACAATGAATAAAGGTTTAATTTGCACAATAACAGCAGAATGGAAGAACTGGAGAGATGTCACAGTGGTTAGGAGCACATGGAGCTCTTGCTGAGGACTCAAACTCTGCTCCCATCCCACACAGAGTGGCTCACAACTGCCTCTAATTCCAGCTTCAGAGGGTCTGAACCTCTCTTCTGGCTTCCATACTGCATTCATTTGTGCACTCGAGGGAAGACGCTCACACGTTTGCTCATACACACATATACACAAATACAAACACACATAATTCAAAACAAGTCAATGTTTTTAAAGAGTAGTATAATGGAGTGTGGAAGAATGGAGCTATATAGAAGCCAATCTTTGGTATATTATTAAGTTCTTTAATCTGAATATATAGTTATAAATCAATATATTAACTATAATCCTCTGGTCACTACTTTAAAAGTAGTGAAAGAGAAAGAAGTTAAATTGCACACTTGAAAAATGTTTATTTACATACTTACACAAAGGAGACAGCAATGGGCATATAAGAGGATAAAAGGGCACAAAGAAAAATTTGCTCAATAGCGGGAGGAAATCCTAACATCAGCAATTGCATTAAATATAAATATATCAAATGCTCTTCTTAAAAGACAGAGGTTGACAGACAAGTAAGAAAATGATCCAATAGTAAGTTTTCAATGAGCAACATGCTTTAGAAAAAACAAAGGGAAAAACAGAAAGTTCAACACTAATATGGAGAAATACTAATTGCCACTTTATTATTATATAGGATGACTGGGCAGAAGACTAGGAAATAGAAGTTTGCACAGAAAAACTAACCAGACCGAAGAGACATCAATGGCACATTCTAACCAAAAACAACAGCATAAAACTTCTTCTCCCACGCAGAGGGAACATCCCCCAGAAGAAAGCACATAATGTCAAACTTATCTAATAATAAACTTAAAATTTTTTAAAGAATTAAAATACAAAAGGTATTTTTGATAATAATGGAATCAATGTAGAAATCAAAGTAGACTCCTACAAGATTAATATGAGTTAAAATTAGCACATTCCTAAATAAACAGATCAAAAAGATTCCAAGGGAAATTAGGAATTTAAAGAATATCTAAAGAATGGATTCTTGCATATAAAAAGTACACAAAATCAGTTGTATTTTATACATTGATGATGATTAAAAACAAAAATAAAATAAGAAATCTTTGGAGCATCAAAATGGGAAAATTTTAAGGGGAAAAGTTATGTAATCAGGGTTAGACATACACTGAAAATTATAAAACACATTGAAAAACACAATCCACAAAATAGGAAAATATTTGCTAATAATACTTCTTTAAGGTAGCATGTATCTACAATCCCTACAGCTCAACAATTTAAAAGAAAAACAACCCAATATTTAAAAACTAAAAATTTGAGCAGATCTTTCCCCCCAAGAAGATAGACAAATGGTCAGCGGCACATGAAAGATGTCTGATAGCAAAATCAGAAAAAAAGGCAGGACAAATCCATCATCAAAGAATTTCTTGCCCACTAGGGCAGCCATAATCAAAGATAAGCACAGCAACAAATATTGATGAGGGCACAGAGGAGTGAGAGGCCCCTACAATGCTTACGGAAATGTAAATTGCTACTACCATTTTGAAAAACAATTTGACTATGATAGCGGATACTGATTATCAACTTGACAGGATTAGAATCACCAAGGAAACAAGACTCTGGCACACAGCTGTGGGGGATGAGGTAGATTGGGCTAGCCTCTGGCCATGCCTATGAGGGATCTTAATTTGGTTAACTGAGATAGAAAACCCATCCTAAAAAATGTGTGGCACCGTTCCCTGGGCTTGGGTCTTTGGACTGCACAACAAGGAAGAATCTGGCTGAGCACCAGCATCCATTGCTCTCTGTTCCCAGCTGTGAATACAATGTGACTACCCACTTCGCATTCCTGCGGCCTTGGCTTCCTTGCCGTGAGGGACTATATTTCCAAACTGTGAGTCAAAATAGACCCCTCTTACCACACGTTGATTCTTTCAGAGTATCTGTGATGGCTATTTTGGTTGTCAGCTTGACTGCATCTGGAATTAACTAAAATCCTAGGCACATATGTTAGGGATCATTTCCTCAATGAAATAATGAAATAAATCTGTAGTGGGAAGATGTACTTCTAATCCATATTTTTTAGGTGGGAAGATTTTAATCTTGGCCACACCTTCTGATGGCAGCCTACATAAAGACATGGAAGAAGGAAGCTTGCTCTCTCTCTCTCTCTCTCTCTCTCTCTCTCTCTCTCTCTCTGTCTGCTTGCTCTCGCTCTCTCACTAGCAAACCCTCTTCTTCACTGGCATTAGAGCCTACTTCATTGGGATTTTGGCATATACTGAAGACTATCTGGGACATCCAGCCTTGTAGACTGAACAGCTATTGGATTCTTGGACCTTCGGTTGGTAGAAAGTCATTATTGGACTAGCAGAACCACAGCTGGTAAGCCATTCTAATAGATCCCATATCTATTGTGTGTGTGTGTTCTGTTCCTATAAGAACCCTGACTAATACCTTATCTTATCACAGAAAAAAAGTAAACTAAAAGGCAACTAAGACAGTTTCCTAAATGGTTAACAAACTGTAGGACCATTAACTCAATAATTCTGCTCTAAGGCATTATCACAAGAAACATATCATCAAAGTTTGACTACAGTTTCATAGTAGCTCTGCTCAGAAGAGCAAAAGGAAGGAGACAATTCAAATGCCCACAAAGGGTTTATTTCAGTTAACAAGTTCACTGTCCATCGTTGAGGGAAGCAAAAGAGGGAACTTGAGCAGAAGCCTAGGTGGAATGCTGCTTACTGGCTCGTTCATGGGCCATGCTTAGCTAGATTGCTTATACAGCCCAGAACAACCTGCCCAGGGAATGGTGCTGCCCAGAGTGGACTGGCCCTACTGTATCAGCTGACAACCCCCTGCAGCAGATCCACAGGCAACCTGATCTAGGGATTCCCTCAGTTGAGATTCCCTTTTCCCAGTGGACTCTAGACTGTGACAGGTGGCAATTAAAGCTAACCAGGGCAGTGTGTTTTCAAAACACAAAGGATTCATACCCTTTTGTGACTCAGTCTTCCCACACCATTATAAATCCTGAGACTGTGACCTCCGATGCCTGCGCCCTGTGTGGCTTCTGGAAACCAACATCTCCAGGCACATTAAAAATAAAGAACTATGCTGACTCATTCTCAGGTCAGAGGTGTCAGGGCTACGGCCACTTCCTTCACACCTCCTCCAGCCACATCCTGCCGAATTCATCAGCCTGGACAAAGTGGGTCCTTACAGGAACAATGGATGCCTTAAAGGGAATTTGCCAAGGGATGACGAGGGAACAGAGCAGATGCCAACTCCACAATGCCACAGAAGGTGGTGGCTTTGTGAGTGTGAAGTGAGTAAGAAGTAAGGAAACAATGCTTGTTTGCAGTGAGCACACCATTAGAAAGATTTTCCTGTGTACACATGTATATGTGGGCACATGTACATAGGTGTCATACATTTGTTCATGTGTAGGCCAGAGGTCAACCTCGGGACTATTTACATTGATTTTAAGAAAGGGTCTCTCACTAGTCTGGAACTCACCAAGAAGACAGGCTGATTGGCCAGTGAACCCCAGAGATCCTCCTGTTTCCACCTCCCCAACCTCTCTACCTGGCTGGTTTTGTTTTTAAACATAGGCTCTGGAGGTAAAACTCAGGTTCTATGCCCACAAAACAAGTACGTTACTGGCCGATCCACTTCCCAGCCTGTAACAGCTTTTCATTATGAAGTTCGTCAAGGTCAGAATGTACTCAAGTTCAGGGACAGAACTTGTGCCTCATGTGCCCATAGCACTTTTCTGCTTTCTACATCATGGAATATTCTTGCATCCTAGGGAAACCCAATAGCAGACTCTCCTTTTTTTTATAATTATCACCCAAGTAGCCCACATTTGGTGTTAACAATTGTTCTCCATTTAATAGTAACGAAACTCTCCAGTGATTCTTACCCCTATTTTCAAGATGAAGCCATGATGACTCAGACAGTTTAAGGATCTTGCCCAGAGTCATATGGCAGATGAACAAGTCCCTAAGTTATTAGGCCATGGAGGCCGTTAAGCAAAAATGATGCTGGCAGCAGGTGGCTTTGGCTAACTGTGACAACAGAAAGATGAGGAACAGACCTGGGTGGATGCAGACCCAGGGAGGGGACCTTGGAAGAATCAAAGGGCTGAAGAAGGCACAATGTGACCTAAAAAGATTACAATGAAGCTGTTTTTGGTAACTTTGTCTACTGTCACTATAACTTCCAGAAAATGTTTCCTGCCCATTCAGAGCCATATGTGAGCTCCCATCTGCTGGCTTTCCGCACCAGCCAGGTGTCTGTGAGTTCCGGGAAATCCGGCAATGATCTGGGTCTGCCTGAAACGCAGTGCTGGGGGCTGGTTTTAAAGGAAAGTTTACAGACCCTGCCTAAATCACTGAGAAGAGCAGGCAAGCTACTCACCGGTCCTGCAGAGCAGGAATCTTGGAAGGACATTGCAAATACTGTTTGAACCGGAGCTCAAAGGCTTGTCCTATGGAGCCAATGACATCTTGGGCTAGCCCATCACAGCATTCCAGAATGTGGCAAGCTTGGAGAGAAGGGGACACACACTCATTAGAGACAGTGCCAGAGCTCTCTGGATCCCTTGACAAAGAGCCCCATCTGAGGTACAGAGGAAAAATGTCACACACCTCCCTCCTGGTACGTCTCTACCAACCCACAGTCTCCTCTCTCTGGGCATCCTACAGTGGTTATGGACATGTGAAATTCTTAGAGGGCCTGTCTGCAAAGGTGAAGGTCTTATTTCTAATACTCAAAATACATCTTTCATTTTATGTGTGTGTGTGTGTGTGTGTGTGTGTGTGTGTGTTGCCTTTATGTGTGTCCATACATCTCATACATGCAGTACCTGAAGAGGGTAGAAGATTCCCCTACACTGGAGTTACAGATGGTTGTAAGATAACTTCTGGTGCTGAAAATCCAACCTGGGTCCTCTACAAGGGCAGCAAGTACTCTTAACCGCTGGGTCACCTCTCCAGCCCATTGGTGGTTCTGATACTCTCAGAATCTACAAACCAATGGTTCTGACCTCCATAGGGAAGCAGTGTTTAGAAAGAAAACTCAGCTCAAACTGGATCTTTCACAGTCTTTCTTCAAGGCCCCAGGAACCTTAGCAGTAGATGAGAACTGGTGCTCCCTAGACGGATGTTGATCTGTTCAATGAACTTAAGGGAAAGTTGTTCTTGACTTAGTAAGAGTGAAGAGTTGATAACCAAATCTGGCTGGAAACACTAAGCAGCACAGTGAAGGGAATAAAGAGGTGGCTCAGTTGATAACCCAATGGTCACACAAACCTGAGGACCTGAGTTCAGTCCCCAAAATCCACATTAAAAAGCCAGGCATGGTAGCATAGGCCTGCGAACCAGTACCCAGGAGACAGTATTAGGAGGATCTCTGGCATTTGTTGGTCAGCTATATAGTCTCCTCTACAAGGTCCATGTTACAGTGAGAGAGCCTTCTTTAAAATCCAGAGGAGAGAGTGTCTTTTGCCTTCCCATTGCTGTGATAAAGCACCCTAACAAAAGCAACTTCAAGGAGAAAGGTCTTTGGCTCACAGTTCCAGGGTGCAGTCCACCACAGGGTAGGGGGCAAGTGGCAGAAGCTTGAAGTGTGATCTGAAGCGAGATACTCTGACTTGGTTATTGCATAGTGTGCACCTCACACTGCACCTCATAAATAAATATAGTTACGTGTTGATTAAACAAAGACTAGGAAGACCACTCAGCTGGCTAAGTGCTTGCCCTGAGAGCATGAGGACCAGAGCTCGGATCCCCAGGACCCTGTGTGCAGTGATGCAGATCTGTAAATCCAGTGCTGGGGAGGAGAGACAGGGATGGGCCTGGTACTTGGTGGCCAGCTACATTAGTCAAATGAATGAGCTCATGGTTCAGGGGGGGAACCCTGTCTCAAAAATAAGATGGAGAGCAGACGATAGTCATACAAACTACATATGTGTATGCATGTTGCATGTGGGTGCATGTGGCACGTCTGCATGGGTGTGTGGAGGCCAAAGGACAACCTCAGGTACCATTCCTCAGTGGACATTCACTTTGTGTTATAGGAGAGGGTTTCTCATTGGCCTGAAACTTACCAACTAGGCTAGGCCAGTCGGCCAGCAAGCCCCAGGATCCTCCTGCCTCCACCATTCAGTGCCAGGTTCCAGGTGTTGCCACCACACCTGGCTTTTCAGGAGGACTCTGGGAAATGACCTCAGCCTCTTAAGCCCACACAGCAAGCAGTTTGCCAACTAAGCTGTTTCCCCAGGCCCCAAAGAGCTATTTAACAACATTGTTGCCTGGATCCCATTCTCTCAGACCTGAGTGTTAAGATGTTTTCATAAGGCTCCTAAGTAACTCTCAAGTGCAGCTCATTTTGAGGACCATTGACCTGGACCTACTAAAGAAGTCTGAAAAACAAGATTGCCTAAATCACTTGCCATTAATTTGAAACAAACTGAAATGGAGACATGAACCCTAGCAGCTTCTGCTTCTAACCCAGATAGTAGAGCTGGGGGGGGGGGGGCAGTACCTGCAGAGGGATAGCCTATGCCTCCCCTCCCCTATAACCCTCCCTGATTTCAGGGAAAGCTAGAATAGTCAAAGGGGCTGGTTTATGCTCTGGGTTCAATTACACCCCTGTTTTTGTTTTGGTTTTGGTTTTGGTTTTTTTTAAAGTTATGCCAAAAATCCAGGACCTCAGAAGGTGTCTTTATTTGGAAAATGGCAGTTTCAGATGTAACTAGTTAAAATGAGGTCATGGCAGGATAGGAGGGGCCCTGAGCCATCATGGACTGTCATCTCTAAAAGCATCCATGAGCAGTCACAGACACGGGGAGTACACCACATTAGGATGGGTTTCAGTGATACACCTGCAAGCCAAGGGACATTGGAGATCATCAGAAAGAAGCCAGGAAGAGGCAGGGAGAATTTCTCCTCCAGGACCCAGAGGGAGCCCGTCTAGCCCTGCTGATACCATGAACTGGGCATCCAGCCTCCAGAACTGTGAGGCAACCTATCCTTCTTGCTTTAAACAACTTGATCTGTGTTTGTTGCCTTAGACACTAAGCTGAGTCTCTAAGCACCAAGAGCTTTTGCTCACATCTCTGGGCAGCAGTCCTGACTGCCTCAGATATAACCCTGCTCACCTGAGGCCAACCCTGGCTATGTACAGTCACCCAAGAAGACGGGTGAGTGTTAATGGATGTGCAGAGAGAGGAATGCTGGTACTCAGCTCACTTTCTCCTTTCCTTTCCTTCAGAATTCCAGCCCATGGAGGGGGCTGCCCTCAGGGTAGGCCTTCCCACTTCAATTAATCCAACCCAGCAACTCCCTTACAGCTTGTACAGAGGTTTATCTGATAGGTGATTCTAGGTGTTGTCAAGCTGACAATTAGTATTTAACCATCACATATGGTATGCGCTCAAGAAAGACAGCAATGAAGAAGGGTCTGCAGAAGCCCCTGAAGCTAAGGCAGAGCGCCCCAGCCTCAATTAATCTGCCCTTGTTGGTTGTCCTGAATGTATATCCAAAATACAGGTTTGGGAGGAGGGTGGCAAAATTGAGTGTTGGGTATCATGTGCATTGAGAGGTTTTTTTTTTTTGTTGCTGTTGTTTGTTGACATTTTTTAATTGATATTTATTGAGCTCTACATTTTTCTCTGCTCCCTTCCCTACCTCTCCCCTCCCCCTTCAATCCTCCCTCAAGGTCCCCATGCTCCCAATTTGTTTGTTTTTACAAGAGAAAAAAATATGTCTGAGTACGCAAACAAGGTTTAAAAACCAGCTGCTGGCACATAGCACAAAGGCAAAGAGGAAGAGTGGAACCAGTCTGCAGCGGAGGGAAGTGCCACTCTGCGTGGTGACAAATTCCACTGTTTTTTGTTTGTTTGTTTGTTTGTTTTTTGCCAGTGACTTTTTATGTGTAACTGTGGCAGGGTTCATCAGGAGCTGCCTAGAGTCCAAGGGTAATCACCCAGAGCCCACCTTCCTGAGTGTATTATTATCCACTCTGGTTTTGTACATGACACCCCCTCCTCAGCCTGTGTCTGTGTTCCCAGACGCTCCAAAGGGACGTGAGGAAATAGCACACCCTGAGCTTAGGTGCTGGGCCCAGAGCAGGAGACAGGAGAGTGTGCACACACGGGGTGATGCTGGTCAGGAGGATGAGCAGGTATAGCATTTCCCAGGCTTAGCTGAGGCTGTTACCAGAGCACGGGGTGAGGCAGGTGATGTGTGAGTGGGGAATACGGAACCGCGGCCATCCTGACCCAGGTGCCAGTTTGGCACTCAGCATCCAGTAAGTTCTCTCCCAGCCAGGTGACAAGCTACCCTTGCAGGCCTCAATTATCCTTAATCGTGTCACGTGACAGGTGCTCATTTGCTAAAGGAGCTGAGATAATGAGGAACATCTGGTTCGCAGCCTCAAGCCTGGCTTCACACGAGTGAGGGATTAAATGGGTCGAGCATTGCTTACCTCTGCGATTAACAGGGTCCTTCGCGACATAGGCAACATAGTCTGTTGTGTCCTGTGGAAAGAAAAAGAGACATTTGGACTACCCATCACAGTAAGAGGGAAGACCAGAGGGATGCAGGGCCCAGCGTGGTGAGTATCCATCTCAGAGTCAAGAATCATGGAGGGAAAGTTCATGGGCCAGCACTCTCCCAGTGTGGGAGGGCCCTGGGCCTCCTCAGTCCTAGAAGAAGAAAGGAAAGAAAGGAGAGAGGAAGAAGAGGGCCAGATACTCTGTACAAATGGTACAAAATGGGCATGGTTTGAGGCAGGTCCTCATACTTGGATGGGGTTGGAAATCCCCAGAGATCTGTGTGCAAACTGAGCAGAACCTGAGGAATCACGAGTGGCTGGTGCAGATGTCACTAACCAGCCCCCTGGGCGTGTATGCTACCAGTCTGTAGCAGCTAGGGTGACAAACACCTGATCTCCCCATGGTAGTTCTTCTGGGAGGCTTTCAAAACTGTTTTTTTGTGTACCGTTGGTTCATCTGACTTAGCGGGTTTGGACTTGAGACCTGACCATGAAGACCTTTTGAAAGCTCGCAGACACACTGGTGTGAGCCAAAGTCAAGAAGGAGGACTGTCAGTAAATGGTGTGTGAACTGTCCTCAAATTTGAATTCCTGTGAAAATCCTGTGAAGGCTTAAGACAAATAGTTAGGCTGTACCCCCAGTTTTCCATCTGGGCCCCCAAACCTGATTCTGCCGTGGGGTTAAAGACTATACTTTGAGAACTTATGGCTGGGGAAAATACTAGGGTAGGAGTTTAAGGACTGGATACTCACAAAATTCAGAATTAGCCTAGCTATCCTCCACCAAAGGAGGGGCTAGAGAAAGCATGGTGTAAGCTACACAGTGGAGTTTTATGCAGCCTTATAATTCTAGGATACAGTTATTGCAGGGAGTCAAGGCAAGACCTTAAAGTATTACATCCACGGTCAAGAGGAGAGAAAATAAACGCATGGCTCCTTTCTTATTTCCTTCTGCTCAGCTTGATTTTTCTCAGTCAAGGTTCAGGAAGCTTGCCTAAGGAATGTGCCACCCACAGCGGTCTGCCTCTTTCTACCCCACGGGCCAATCTATCAACAAAGGCTCCGTACCCAAGTGATTCTGGGAGGCGACAAGCTGAGGGTTACTACGAACACAACCCCCCACAAGCACCAAGCTTCAGAGCGCAGCTGGAAAGTTAGCCCGTCTTTGCAGTTCCTTTCCGGAGCTTATGCTCCAAAGGTCTTCAAGCTCATGGATTGCTTCTGTCTGTGTGGCAGTGGTCTGTGCGGCAGTGGTCTGTGCTGGCCTGTCTGTTCCGTCCCTGAGGAAGTGTCCTCTCCTTCTTAACAGAGATCCAGCAAATACTGCCGGGAGAGCGGAGGGGAGGGGTGTGGGCTTGGGGAGGGGTGGGTGGCCATGGTGCCCTTCAAGACTTCCGGAGAACAGAGGCGTGGGGACTTTTCCAGCGGTGGAGACAAAAGAACCCTTGTCTCTGAGGCTCATCTGAGCAGAGTCCATTTCCTGGTCTTTAGTATTTCACAGGCCGGCGAGAGAAAGGACAGGAAGACTATAAAATGGCCTCTTCACTTCCACGGAGGCAAATCTTCTGAGGATTTGAAGCTGTTGGCAAAAATATTACAATTCTTCACTTTCCTCCCAGATTCATGGGATGTGGGAGTCGCAACTGTCCTTAAGAAACGTCAGGAATGTCTTAGCCAATAGTCGGGAGCCCCGGAGCTTTGGAACCCCGGAGTTTTGGAGCCCTGGAACTTTGGAGTTCCGGAGCTTTGGAACCCCGGAGCTTTGGAGCCCTGGGGCGTGCTCTCCAGCACTTGTGTTTTCTTTCCACAGTCTTACACAGCTATCCCGAGAACCTGGGATGGTCTAGACAGCCACCATGCCCTTAAGTTTGTTCTGGGTGCAGTTACAGGGTCATGACTGAGATTCGCAGACAGCTTTCCTGTATTATAGGAACTGGGGTATTCAAGAAGCCAAGCGGATGATGCCTTTGTCCCAGTTGACCCAAATTGTTGTCACTTTTGAGCCTAAGGATGCGCGCTGAAGGTTGTGCTTGAATAGAAGAAATGTGCAGAACTGAATCACCTTGAGAAATGGGTGAACACACAGGAAGATTTTCACCTTCTAAAGCTACATCTTAGTGAGAGAGTTTATGTTTCAATGAGGTGTAAAACTCAACACTAGGAAGACTAGAAAGGCATAGCCGGGGAAAGATGGAGTAAAAGGAAAAGCATTATGGGAGGCTTTGGAAACAATATCCTGTGTGTGAAAAGGGCCCAAACTACTGGCACCCAAAAATAAAATAAAATAAAATAAAATAAAATAAAATAAAATAAAATGGATATCTTAAGTTACAGAATTTGCTTTTGTCGTGTGAATGAACTTAAGTTAAAAAATATCCCTCCTCATATTACCCCACTTTTAATTTTTTGACCTTTAACCCCTAACCACAATAAAAATTATCGTGGTAACATTTGGAAGGAGCCGGGCCCATTTCTTCTCCTCCCTCAGTGTCTTCCGCCCTGGCCTGGTTCTCTGCCTGGTTTTGAGGTGGTTTTGGAGATGTGGCAGGGAACAACCGAGAAAAGCAAGCCTGGCAAGATAGGTCAGACATGGGAGCTGTCACGGAGGCCATGCTTCCCGAACTCCTGATAATTCATGGCTGAAAATGAATGGTGGGACCTGGTCACAGGTTACCCTTCCCCCACCAAACAGCAACTCAAATAATGGTCGAGAGGGCTCTGAGGCGATACCTTACCAGAAGAGTGCTTGCTAACCCTTGACCCTCGGCTTCGTCTCTAATACAGAGAAATGAAAGGAGAGGAGAAGAGAGGAAGGGAAGGGAAGGAGGATTTGGGGAGGAAAGAGTTTTGCAACTAAGAGGGATAAAGAGTTGGAATCACAGCTTCAGGGGAGACAACTACTTTACTTGCAAAATTTTGACAATGACTCTTTTATCTTACAATTTACTTCAGAGAATTTCCCCCATAGGGTATAAAACTTTTTTTTTCTGGGTGCCTACAGTTGTTTCTGAGCACATGAACTGCATCGGAACAGAATTCTACCCGGACTGAACTTGTCCTGATCCTAAAACAGCTGGACTGCTATCAGAATAGTAAACTGGGGTTTCAGTAAAATCAGCATAGAAACACTTTTGTGTCGTGTCTTCAAGAGGCACATCTTTAAAGCAAGGGCTTTGTCTCAGAAATTTCCAGCAAGAACGAGAGAAACAGCCGAGGCCACTCACCGGGTCTCCCCCCGAGGCGAAGGAGATGGACTGCATGTGATGGTTCGCTATGATCTGCCAGGGCGGAGACAAGAAACGAGAGGAGCCGTTAGCGCTGTGCCACATCCTGCGGAGTCCGCGTGCCAGCAGGTGAACGACAAGACGCCCTGAAAACTGCCCCCGAAGAAGATGACAGCTGCCACACGCTGAGGCGGTAGGCCACCTGCCCTCACTGTGCACAGTCTGATAGCTGCCATCTCTTTGGTTGGCTACTCGAATGCCTCATTAAGCCTCCCAGCAGCTGAGGGGTGGGAACTGGGGGCAACCCATTTTACAGGCACAGAGCATGAGCCCAGAGGGGCCACGAGGCTTGTTCAAAAGAAAGAAGTGAAGTAAGCCCAGATCAAAGGCTGTGAAATCAAGGCTCCACCTGAGGCCAGGGTCTCAATAACTGGACTTCTCCAGGAAGGAAAAGGTGGGCCTGGGGAGATGGCTCAGTTGGTAAAGAGCTTGCCTTACAAGCAGGGAGACCTGAGTTTAATGGCCCAAACCCATGTGAAAAAGAACTGGGTGTGGAGGGCTACAGTCCCAGCACTGGAGAAGAGACAGGTGTATCCCTGGGGCTAGCTGGACCAGCAACCTAGCTGAATCAATGAGAGAGCCTGGATCAATCAGCAGACACAGCTGGATGAACGATAGCTGAGGTCGACCTGCGGCCTCCACACGTCTGTACACATATGTGCATATACACCCATACACTTATGTACATGTCCTCCACACAAACATATACCACACACATGTACACACACACACACACACACACACACGGACGCGCGTGCACGCACACAAACACACAAGGAAAAAATACATTGTACCACAACATTACAACTTGTATTTTCTGCTTCCCCAAACACCAGAGCCAGGACCGGGGAGTGTGGCCTGCTTCACTCATCCCATTCATATCAGGTGTGTATACATCAGAAGACCAGCATCCAAGAGCTACAGCCCTCTCTTAATCCCCTGGCTTAAATACCAGGGGCCCTTCCACGTTTGTCTTAAAAATGGAAGTTTTCCATCAGGTTTATAAGCTGTGGCATCCGTGGAATTCAGTAGACACAGAGTGAATTAGAAGCTGCCCTAAATTCTAAAAGCTACGCAAGCCCTCCCTGCTATTTTTATCTTTTTAAAGACAATGGAACGACATTGAAGAAAAGTTCCTGTGTGGAATGGAGCTCCCAGCTCTATCCTAACCCAGCCAGGTTCATTACTGAGCTGTGCCCTCCAGCCTCGTCCCTGGCAGACAGTGGTTCACAGAACAACAGACAGACTATATGTTCTTGAAAACTCGAAATAAAATTTCATTATAGGATAAATTTTTAAATATTTTTAAATGCTGGCTTTGGTTGTTGACATTTGCAAAACTTCATTCTAGAGAAACCTGAGGGTTTAAGAGAACACTAAACAGTGAGACTGTTGGGTAGCCTATGCCTGAGCCCTAGGCCACTAAGAATAGTTGCCCTAGAATCCTGCTGCCAATGGACAAGCAGCTCCTGAATGAATGAGAAGGCAACGAAATTCCAGACAGTAAACTAGAACTTCAGTGTCTTGTAACCCAGCAGTGGTTCTCAATCTGTGGATCGAGATCCCTAGAGGGGTCGCATATCAGACAACCTGCATTTCAGATATTTACATTCCAATTCATAGCAGTAGCAAAATTATAGTTATGAAATAGCAATGAAATAATTGTATGGTTGGGGGTCACCACATCATGAGGAACTGTATTAAAAAGTATCAGCATTAGGAAAGTCTGAGGGATTCAGCTCTGTTCCTCTACTTGGAAGTCAGCATCGTGGGGTGAGTGCTATTTGTCTGTTCTCTGGGTGGAAGAGAAAGGGGCTTTTGCTTTCTCAATTTGCTACAGTGGGGATCTAAACTCAGGAGACAGGAAAAGCACAGCCATATGCTCTACCTATGTTGTGGACTGTCCTGTATCACCCTAGCTGAGAGTCCCTGGGTGTCGGGAAAACCGCACTTACCAGACTAGTACATGGCAGGGGAATGAGAACTGAACAGCTAACTAGACCCAACCCAGACCATAGCAAGGTAGAACAGGGCAGCAGGGCCTGAGGACAAGCTGTCCTAGCATTATCCTTACTGGAATTTCTTTTTAAGGAGCAAATGACATCATCAAAAGCATCAAATTCAGTCAGACGGTGGTGGCACATACTTTTAATCCCAGCACTTGGGAGGCAGAGGTAGAGGCAGGGGGATCTCTGTGAGTTTAAGGGTCAACCTGGTCTACAAGAGCTAGTTCCAGGACAGGTTCCAAGGCTACAGAGAAATCCTGTCTTGAAAAAACCAAAAAAAGTATCCAATTCTTATATCTGGAGGTTTGATTGTATAAAAATGTTTTATTTTAAAAACTGCAGTCTGAGTTGCTGACTTGAATTTTTAATTTTATTAAAAATTGTTAAATTAATTTTGGCTTAAGACCAGTACAGAATTTCCAACCATTTCTGAGATGGCCCTAACATACTACATATTTATACAAAATGGCACTCTGAGCATTGACAGTTTCTAAACTAAAGTATCTATCAACTCTGAATACCATTGGCGGTGTTCTGTGTTCTTCAGTATTGCTAAATGCTTAGCCAGGATTTAACTCTTTATGTAAAAATAAATAAGTACTTTTCTCTTATTGGCTTGCAAATTTTCTTCCATTGTTAATAAATTGTGAAATCACATGACAAAAAAAAAGAAGAGAGAATGAGCAAGGAGGATGGAGAGTTACAGCCTCGGGACCCCTAGAAATGAACAGTCCGTGTGCACACAGGACAGATTTCAGTTTGCACGGCTGTCTGGAGCCTAGTGTGCCAGGCTCTATGAGCAACTAGGGCTCAACTTAAGACAACCTGGGCAAAGCAAGGCTGACTAGACATCCCAGATCCACAGTCTCAAGGACTGCTTAGTCCTTAGAAAATAATAGAAAAGGACAAGGAAGTCTCAGTCCCTGGTAGACAAAAGGATAGAATAAGAAGAGCCATAGTGAGTTATGTCTCAACAAAGCCTTGACTTATTTCTCATTTTACATTAAATCTAATTTGTCTCTATATCTTAGGGATTGATGATAGACAGACAGACAGACAGGCAGGCAGGCAGGCAGGCAGACAGACAGACAGACAGACATGATAGTTGGACAGACAGACAGATAGACATGATAGATGATAGATAGGCTGGACCAAAACATAGTCAGCACACAGAAATGTGGTCATCCTGCCTGGAATTTGCTTTTCTAAAGGTGTCCATGCTGCCTTGGTCACGCCGCTGTCCTTGTCTACACTGTAGATACACACAGCTCATCAGCCCTGAGGTAGAATGGACTGTGAGAGGCTCCAATATAAGGAACCATAAGGAAGAAAGCTCCTGCCTATTAAACCACAGCACATTGTGCCTTCCAAGCAGGATAAGATTAAAATGTGACCCATAAAACATGGCTATAAAACAAGGGCAGACACCAAGACATTTGCACAGACATCACCATTTCTTTATATTACAAACAGACCAACAAAACAGACAGCATTTAGAGCAGAATTCCAGAGAACCATTCATCCATCTGTGGCTGGACTGTCAACATGGCCAAAGTCCAAGGTCCAGCCAAGCAGGTTCTGCATGGGCTCGGTAATCTCAGAGGAGGTAGCCCCAGGGATGCCCACCCTTGGGCCCAGGGAGGCCTGGGCAACCTCACACCTGTTTGGAGTCCGGAGTGCGCAGATTCAGGCTGGCGGTGGAGATGGTCAGGGAGATGCTCATCCCTGCGAACTGGAGGTTGCTCTTCCCCAGAATGCTGGACAGCATTTTATTCGGAGGCTGTGAAATCCAAGGAGGGATAGTTTAGCTTTAGATCCACACTCTGAAAGGGTCAAGGCAGAGATGTCAGTATACCCCCTCAGACACTCACTGACTGCTCCTACCCTACTGAGGTTCCAGAAATGTAAAATGGGGGAGCTGGGAAGACAAGAGCCCATGCCAATGTACACACTCAGTAATATGAGGTATGAAATCATAAGTGCCTAATATGTCAGTTCTGGGGAGAATTGCTGGTCTTCCTGGCTGCCTTGACTGCATGCTGGTGTCTCCTGGGTCGTAGATGCAAACTTGCAGAGACCTCACAGCTTTGCAGACATGCAAACCTTGTCTTGGCACACCAGTGTTCAGACTGTCTCTTAGAGGAGTGAAAACTGGGTGGCACTGAGGCTCAGGAGCAACCTCAGAGGGCCCCGAGGCTCTCTCCCGAAGGGAATCTCTGTTAAGTGCTCACATGGATGGTCCGATTAGAATCTGACTGCCTAGAGCCTGGGCAGGGTGGGAGAGAGGCTGCTGTGGCCAGTGTCTCCCTCATCTGTCAATAAGGTCCTTCCAGGGATATGGAAGAGCTTCAGTGTCCAGCCAGGCACTGTCAGACCCCTGGGCACACACCGAACCCCTCTCCTGCTCACCCTTTCTGTTTGGTTACAACATCCTCTGCTCACTCTGCCAAACAGCCCTTGAGCAGAGGCACAGTTCTTTAATCCACTAGGAGAGAAAACACAGCAGCTAAGGGTGTCTAAAGTAGAGCCGGGAAACAGGGAAGGTCACATCCCTCTGCTGAAGCTCAGACCACAGGATGTTCCTGTGGCTTAGATAAGAAGCCAAATCCAGACCTGCCTGCCTTACACACCAACCTCTCAGTGGGGAGTAGCCTAGTTAAGGGACCAATCAGAAGAGATTTGCAGTTTAGGGTGTCTGCCCAGCCAATGAACTGTCTTCAAATACAACACTTAATGGAAATTCTCTATTTTAAAAGACTAAATCTCTACTGAACTTACCTCCAGGGGTTGCCCTGGTTTGGTATGCCCAAACTGTACACTTTGTTTTCCAGATAGACGCTATTTCCTTTAGGATCCCTGCCATGACATTTTTCCTTTTTCTTTTTATTTAATACTTCAAAAGGGCCCTTTAGAGAACTCATCTCCCCTGTGTGAGAGTCAGGTCAAGTGCATCTGGGCACAACCTAGAAAGTTCTCATTACTTACATCCCTTCCCACCAAGAGGAACGTAAGGGGATCACAGATCTGTTAGGACCTCCTGTTCTGAGAGACAATAGTCCTTCTTGCTGTTCCCAAGGGACACCTGGCCTCCTGTATTCAAGATCTGGGAGCTTTACTTGGTTCCCAGGACCCCCAGGGAACTGGCCATCACTTAACCTGAGCTGCCAAGTTCTCTGCCCCAGACCCAGCTGCCCTATAGGTTTACAAATGTCCCCAGTTCTGAAGACAGAAGTAACTTAGAGGCAAAACCATCTGGAACCTGAAAGCTCAGCCTGGAGCAGATACAGGGCCCACTGTGGTATGCTTTCCCACAAATCCCTTCTAGGCAAATAAAAGTCATGATTGTAAGTGCTGAGCTATTTATAATGTGTGTGTGTGTGTGTGTGTGTGTATGTGTGTGTGTGTGTGTGTGTGCGTGCGTGCAGATGTAGAGATGGAAGGTCATCAGGAGTCTTCCCTAAAATGCTCTTCCTTATATTTGAAGACAGAGTCTCACAAAGAACCTGGAACATAGCAATTCTGCAACCCTGGCTAGCCAGTGAGGCGCTGGGATCGGCCTGTCTGTTTCTCCAGCACTGGGGTTACAGGCATGTGCTGCCTTGCCAGGCTTTTTACATGGATGCTGGAGATACAGACTCCATGCTTCTGTATCTTCCTGTCTTCATGTTTATGCAACAAGCACTTTGCCAACTGAGCTATCTCCCCAACCCCCAGATATTTCCCCTCCTAATCCAACCATATACAGGATGGAAGGTTCCAGAAGCATAGTTGAACACCCAGTCTCTGAAACAGGTTGACCATGGCCCCAGCTCCTATTCACATTGTGACTTCTCAGTCCAAAGCCTCCATTGTTGTCTTCTATAGCATCGGGCTTTCCGATGACATGGCTGAGCCAACTCAGGAAAGCCATTTGTCATGCTTTTAGAAATGGTATGAGCTGACCCCTAAGCACTGCTATTACTGAAAGTTAACTTATACGAACTCACAACTACATAGATGGCATCTACAGAGGGTAAAATACTTCTTGAGTCCTGGCTGTTTTACTGCCTGGTCCCATGCTATGTGAACCTGTGCCGTCAGGTCCCATCTGCTGCACCTGGAGAAAATGCCACACGGTGACGAACTGCTGTGTGTCTCCCTCGCTCTTTCCAGGGACCTTGTGTTGAAAGCTTGGACCATATGGATGTATTTACACCACAGTAACCGGCATCGTTACAAATGCAAGGTCCTACTTCCCCCACCCAACCCCAGAATCCAGTCCTTAAGCAGTAGCTACCGTGTACCACTGGGGTAGCTGCTACATGAGCCGTTAGGGGCAGATGAATTCATGTTATGTAATGGGCTTAGAGGGATGCCTGGTCAGATGCTGACTGTTATCCCTGTCTCCAGGGTTTATCTACAGCGTTTGCTTGAGAGAGTCAGGGCAGGGATGCTTTAGCCTTAGCTAGACACTTTCCCTTAAGAAAGACAAGATCCAAGTCATGTAAGACGGGGGACAATTATGTGGGTGAAGACCTGGAGTGTGGCCCTGAAAGGACATGAAGGCGGAGGCAGACACACAGCGAGAGCCACAGTACCTTTCTCTTCCTGAAGGCTCCTTTGGCTCCTGGCACAGCTTCGCAGACACGACTGATGGCTTCCCTGAGGGCAGGGAGAGATTCATTTTATTACATGCCAGCCAGAGTTATGCAACTCAGATTGTCTGCACTCAAAGGTCCAGAGGAAATAACTGCCTGCTTATTTTAGCATAGAAATTGGCCCTCCAAGTACCTCTCCTCCAACAAGCAGAATTAAGCCAAGCACCGGCACGTTATCTTAAAACTTTTTTGCCAGATCCTGCCTCTTTCTTAGTGTGGCGACACCATGGTCAATGCCACATTTCCTTTTCCTCTTGCAATTAACTGAGATTTCATTTTCAGTACCAGCACCGGATATGCACTCTCCCCCAACGTGCTTTTCATTATGCCAATCACTACGCCTTTAGAAATGTCCTAACATGGTCAGAGCACCAGGGTCAAGCCTATCCAGCCACCACAGCTCACGGAGATCCTTCTGAAGCGGGTTCGAAGGTCACTGGCGGAAACATGATGCTCATTGTTTGACTCCTAGTTTCTGCAGTTTAAACACAACCAGCAGGCTGGGGCTATCACCCACCACCAGTGGAGTGCTTGGCCAACTCTTCTAAAGCCCCAGCCCCGCATACAACCAGGCTTGGTAGTACATACCAATAATCCTAGCGCTCTGGAGTTAGGAACGGGAAGACCAGAGGTTCAAGGTTGCCCTCACCTAAATGGTGAGTGTGAGACCAGCCTGGGCTACAAGAGACTATGTCTCAAAACGTAAAAATAAATAAATAGTATATCACTCAGGTTAGGGTTTTCTGGCTTTATGGTAGTATGAAGGTGATTCATATTCAGTATAAATCATACTTTGAATTTTTGATTCTAATTTTTTTAAAGTTTCAAGTTCTAAAATATCTTATTTTTGGTAAATATGCATTCATCATTGTATGTAATCAACATATATCCCATAACATGCACTTATCAAGTCCAGCCTTCCTTGATCCATCCATTCCAGCAGCATGTGTCCTACACACCCACCCTCCCACACACACACCCCACATCTTCCCTGACCTCTGGTCATCACTATTATCACTATTCTCTACTCAAGTCCACTGTTTTCAGCATCTGCATATGAGAAAGATGGTACATGGCGCTTGTCGTTTTGAGTCAGGCTCACTTTGTTTACCATGATTTCCTCTGATTCCATCCACAGGGCCTTCTCTGCATGCTGGGCATCTGCAGCAACCCTCAGCTCCAAGCCAGCACCGCGATCAGCAGCAGAAACCACCGACACTAAAGTCCTCTGCTGCTCAACTAGCATGTTCTAGCACGTTCTATAAGTTCAGGATTTTCCACAATAATTTTGTTTACAGTAGGTTTAAACATCAAGGAACTGCTGTATTTAAAAATCCAGAGACTTTAAGAGGAGTTAAGGAACTCCATGACACGAGGGTGAGACTGTGCACAGGGCAGATGCACAAGACCCTGTCTGTTAAGCAGTTCTTCATACCAGGCATTGTCCTGAGTCAAGGGATGGGGGACACTCATAGGGTCCACCCAGTTGGGCAGGAGTCCCATGCATGGGTTTTAACCTATGGGGGCTGGAGAATTTGAAGTAAAGAAGAATCCAGACATGGAGGCTATGGAGGTTCAGATGCAGGTATGGCAAGCGATGAAGGCAACTCCGATGACCTTGAAGGCACCCACAGCTCAACACTACAACTCACTGTCAATGAAAACCACTGGAAAGGGGCTAAAATTGGCCTCAAGTTAGGAATGCCTAAAGGAGCTGGGAAAACTTCTCAACTCACACATAAGGAAGGAGAAAATATTGCAGAAACATGGGAAAAATAAACAAACAGGGCCAAGAGACGGGCTGGGTGAACAAGAAGACAATGGCTTCTTAGAAACAGCCAGCCAGCTTCCCAAGTGGACTACTCCTCATGGTTAATAAAAAATTAATTGTTGAAAAATAATCACAATCACAATGCAATCGCATTGTGTTAGATGTCCTTGTCAAATTAGGGCAGCGACCACGGAGGCGAGCTTCATGTTTGCCATTCAATGCGTTGTGGAGAGAGGGGAGGAAAATGGGTTTTTGACAGTTCAGGCGCCAGGAAGCCTGCACAGAATGAGTCATCCTGACCTGGAAAACTGAAGCCAGAGCAGATGTTTGGGATGACAGTGCTCCTCCTATTTATTGTATAATAGCCATCTAACAGTGCTTCTACCAAAACGATCAAATATGTACCATCTGAAATCTGCTAAAAGCAAAGCCCTCATTTGCTTTCAGAACATGAATGTGCTGTCCTTTTGAACTAATGAGTTAATTTGTGTGTGTGTGTGTGTGTGTGTGTGTGTGTACATGTATATGAATGCACACACTCCTGTGTACATGCAGAGGCCAGAGGATGGTGCTAGGTGTCCTGTTCTACGACTCTTCCCCTAATTCCTTTGATGCAAAGTCTCTCACTGAATCTGCAACTAGGCTGGCAGCCAGTAAGACCCAGCAATCCTCCTTCCTCCACACTTGCCCCTACAGCAAAGGTGTTACAGGCATGTGCAGACAAGCCTAGTTTTGTTTAACAAGTGCTGAGGATTTGAACTCAGGTCCTCATGTCTGCACAGCAAACGCTCTATCTGCTGAGTCATTTCCCCAGCACCTATGCTGTCTTTTATAGAAGTCTCAGCATCTGTTTTACCTTTTAATAGTTTAAGGCATGTTTTATTTTTAACTATGTATATATAGGTGATGGGAATATGTGTCTATGTGAGTGCAGGTGCCCTCAACGGCCATAAGAGGGCAATTGGATCCTCAAGATCTGGAGTCAGAGGTGGTTGTAAGCTACCCAGTGTGAGTTTTGGGAACCAAACCTGCAAGAGAAGGATGTGCTCTTACCTGCTGAGCCATCTCTCCAGTATTTTTCCTAGTCAATTTTGCATGATTATGTGGTTGCATATGGAGGCCTGAAGTTAGCCTTTGGGTGTTGTTACTCAAGACACTGCCTGCCTTGTTTTCTGGGACAAGGTCTCTCACTGGCCTGAAACGTACTAATTCTGAAGACAGACTGGTTAATGAACCCCAGACATGCTCCTGTCTTCACGTCCCCAACACCGAGACTACAAATATGGGCCACCATGCCTAATTGTTTTTTATTTATTTAGTTTCAATTTTATGTGAGCATATGTTTATATGACTGTATGTCTGTGTATCACATGTGTGTAGGCACCCACAGAGGCCAGAAGAAGCTGTCAAATCACCTAGAACTTCCGCATTATATTTGTTAAGTCAAGAGATGGCCTTAGCCCAACAAAGTAGCTAAGTCTTTGATGGTCTCAACAAGCTAAAGAGATGATATGTACAGAACACCTTACCTTGGTCATTCTTTTAACGACCTCAGTGATTCCTAGATTTTTGTGCCCACCAACATAGAACAACATAGGAAGTCAAGAGTTTTACAAACAGTACTCCAAAAGGATTCCCACTATCAGAAATCTAACCTAGTCAGCTACGAGCCATTTGCAACTGGTTTCTACTTCAGGGAGAGGCAGGAGGAGCGCAGGATTCAGAAGACGGGGAACAGCCTGATACATTACAGACAGAAAGTCCTCTCAGGGAGACCCGTGATGTTCCCAGAGCACAGTCACACCTACAATATAACTCCTCCTGAGCTTACACACTCAAAATGAGCCCCAAGGATACCCCTGTAAGCTCTCAGAATTTTCTGAGATCTTCAAATCAACATGCTTTTCAGAAAAACAAAATGTGCTGCCATAGAATGGCCACAGATCTGTTTCTAATGTTCATGTGACCACATGTGACAAGTCCTTACTTCAACCAGAGATGGTGTCTATTTCTGCTTGAAACAGAAATGACACACCATTAAAAACAGCAACATTTAGATGTCTGCAATTAGTTGCTTTAACTCCAAGGTCTAATTTTAAACGTTGCTATTCTCAATTTCCTTCCTGGATGTTTTAGTGAGCAGTACTGTCTCAATTTGTTCATTTAGCAATAACTTAGCTTGGTATAATTTCATTTAATTCCTTTTTGGAACCCAGGTACCAATTTTGCTACTTTTTTAATAATAGAGATTGCTTCTTAGCATTCCACTCAGCACAACTCCATTTCGAGAAGCTAAATTCTGACCTCAGTGCTCCACTAATATGAAAATGGAACATTTGGCAAACACGGCAGTCAGCTGAAAGCGACCAGGGACAGCCCAGCCAAAATGCTAACCTTGGGTTTACGATGGCGCTGTACTCCTTCACCCAGGCCTGCATTGTCACCCATAGGGCAGATATCCCTCACAACTGAAGCTTGTTCTTGCTAGTGCAGAACTTTAGGACTAGATTTTGCACAAACACTCACAGCAGGTGTACATATTTGTATCCACACATATTTTGTCTAATACAAATATTAGACATATTTGTATGTCTAATAGGCACGTGTGCATGCTTACACAGACACTTTTCAGAGTGAAACATTAAAAAACAACAGCAGAACAGTAGGATAATTTATTCCCTCTTCAAATTATACTTAAGTAGGGGAAAGGGCAACAAAAGAATGAAACACATAGAGCAGTAAGTTTAAGTTCACACACACACAACGTGATAAATAGCCACTCAGGGGGAAACTTAGTTTCTAGTGCATGCCTCAAAAGTAAATTAATTCTTGGTGTATCACGAATAGAAGCTGTTGTGATTTAAAATAACAAAAGTATTCAGGAAACTCAGAAAGAATTACTTTTAATGATCTTTGAATGGAAGGTTGATATGAGAGGGGTATATCATATAAAGGAAATACTAATGCAAACAATAACATCAAAGCAGATGTAGGCAAGTCAAGAGACAATCATCTCAAAATAAGTCAGAAAGAAAACCATCGTAAGCTCAGTGGACAAAGCTAAGACTACAGACAGAGGGATTTCAGGCAAGGAATGACAAATGGGTCCTGACAACATGGGAAGCTTCTCAACCTGATCTCTTTGGCTGTGCATGTGCCAGGTCAGCTCGTTCCACAAGTAGGGCAGGGAGGTGGGTGTCATAGCTGTGAATGACGTGAGTGGTCACAGCAGGAACCTAAACTCAGAGAGCCATGAATGCATCTACATAAAAACTCCGGGATGAGAAAGAAGAGAGGCCATAAACGGGTTTGTAGATATCCCATCAAAAGGAGGAGAAAGGTAAGGCTGTCCTGACGGAGCAGAAGACAGGAGACACTTGACAGTCATGGGACAGACAATGGTACTCACTGATAGGTGTGCAACCAATATCCTACCAAAAATTTCCTAAGAATATTTTCAGCATAAGGTCATAAAATAAGGAAGAGCTTTGTGGAGACCGGATGGGGATGGAGGATACAGAAGGATTCCAGAGACAAGAGGAGGCTGTTAAGGTTCAGAGGCAGAGGGTGGGATCACTGGGATCCAGGCTGAAAGCGTGGACCCTGGGTGGTGGACATGGTGTGTGTGAAACATGAAGTTCCTTGGTACTGTGGGTTGAAGGCAGCCTGGAAAGAAGGGAGCTGTCCGGGGAGGCTCTGTCCAGGGTGCTGACAATGACTTACGGCTCTCAATGCCGGTCCTTATCAGACAATGAAACCCCATTTGCGGGCACCTGACTAAACACAGAATCTTCTCCTCTGTGTTCACTCTTCTATGCAATGTGGCAGCTAGATGATGTTGGAGACCTCCAGGAGCCAGGGTAATTGAGGCACCCCCACTCTCTCCCCCTTTCTGCCCTTAGTCCACAGCAATTCTACCAGTGGGTTTCTTTTTTTTTTTTTTTTTTTTTTTTTGCTTCCATATAGAAACACACAAAAATAGACAGAGGTCAGAAATGAGGGCAGAGCCAGACCACACAGCACAGAATATACCTAGCCCTAGCTTTATTTCTGTTGATGTGCTAAATTCCCTTACAAAAGCAACTTAGGGGAGAAAAGGTTAATTTTAGCCCACAACTCCAGGCTACACTCCTTCATAACAGGGAAGTTAAGAAAAGCAGGAATGTAAGATGGCTCATCCCATCACATCCACAATGAAGACAGAGAAATGAAAGCATGTGTGTTTACTCTTCAGCTCACGCTTCCCACTCTTACAGAGTGGAGGACCCAAGCCCAGGGAATGGTACCACCCACAGTGGGCTGGGTCTTCTCATGCCAATTAACATAATCAATTAATATAATCAAGATAACCCTTTAGAGACATGCCCACAAACCAATTTATCTAGACAATCCCACACTGAGAACGTCTTCCCAGGTGATCTAGATTGTGTCAAGTTGGCAATTAAACCAACCATCGCATATATGAAAGGGGGGATGAATTATAAACTGTAAAGTTCTGGCATCTGATTCTGGCTCCAGACATCACATATACTCATAACAATTATAATATGTTGGATTACAAAATATTATCCCAAAAGATATAATCTCAAAAAAATCATAGGAAGATAGTGGTAGATCCATGTGCAGGCATAAGTTACTGAAAGTGACTGCATTGATAATTTATTATTATTTCCCTATATTAGTTATGTGACTCAAATCTGCAACCTAACACTTGAGAAGACACAACTTAAGGAGAGGACTTATTCTGACTCATAGGTTGAAGAGAGGATACAGTCCATCAATGTAGGGAAGGCATAGTGGCCATGGTCTGAGGCTGGTGGGCCACAGTGTATTCACAGTCAGGAAACAGAGTAGATAGGAAGTGGAGACTGGTTATAAAACTTCAAGGGAGCCCAGAGTGACCTACTTCCTCTCACCAGGTTCCATCCCTCTAGGACAACAGAACCAACTGGTTACCACCAAGTGTTCAAAAGCAGGAGCCTGGGGGCAGGGAGATTATATATTAGTTATATATAAACAGCAGTTATATAAGACAGCAGTGGAGATGCTGTTGAGAGGTTTTGGGGTGACCCTGAAGCTCCTGCTCTACTCCTGACCCACTGTAAACACATTTTTCCAGGAACAGGGACACACGTCGGTACACCAGTGGCTCCAGACATCCTTATCTCAGCTGCACAAGCCCTCAGAGAGTCAAGGACAGAACCAGAATTAGAACTCAGTTTCCTCAGGCTGGAGAAATAACTTGGCAGACATGTGAAAGTAGTGTTCTCATAGAGGACCTGAGTCTGGTTTCAAGGACCTGTGTCAAGGTGACTCACAACCACCTGTAATTCCAGCTTCAGGGAACTCAATGCCTCTGACCTCCACAGCACATCTGCTCATGTGTACATACCCCCCACACTAATTAAAAATAAGATCAATCTTGAAAACAAAACAAAAATCCCACCTTCAATAAATACCATGACCAAGGCAACTTGGGGAGGAAAGGGTTTATTTTAGCTAACAGGTTCTAGGTCATCATGGAAGCCAAGAAAGGAACTCAAGGTGGGAAACTGAGGCAGAAACCATGGAGGAATGCTGCTGACTGGCTTGCTCCCAGGCCCCCATCCAATTGTGTCTTTTATGTACCCGAAGCCCACTTTCCTAGGGACGCCACTGCCCACATTGCGATGCGCCCTCTTGCATCAATTAGCAGTCAAGAAGATACCCCCACAGAGACGCCCACGGGACAGTCTGCTGGAGGCAATTCTCTAACTGTGTTCCCTTTCTGCAGATATGTCAAGCTGACAACCAAGGTTAGCCATCACATTCAATAACAACAACAACAACAAAATCTTTAATATAATTAAATGAGGCATGGTACAGTCAGCCGAGAGTTATGCATCCAGCAACGTCAGAAATGATAAGTGGGGAAGGGGACCAGAGAAGGTGGAAATCAAGGAGATGCAGGGACGATGTCACAATCAAGTTGTGGGATGAAAAGCACTGAGACAATTCTGAGGGCACCTGGAGTCCACAGATTCCAGGTGTGCACCCAGCAAGGCCCTCCGGAGGCAGCCAGCATCTGCAAGACAAGAGATAAAGTGCTGATTTATTCACGATTCACACACGGCATCCACCAGTCTCCCAAGCATCTAAGCCTGGTGGCATTTATTTGGGCAACACTATTAACAATGTGAAAAGTTCTAGAGCCCTTTCACTACAATACCTGCCTATCATACCAGGATGCGCCTCCAGTGAGGGGTGTGGCAAAGTTCTGTGTGTGCCCCCCTCCTCACCTCTGACCTCTCTGTCCATATTTGTGCATCTCTATGTGAACATATAAGGGAAGTGCCACTTGCTGAGTTAGGGAAGAAAGGGGCAGAGGGAAACCTTAAAGGAAGTTTAAATGGAATTCTAGAAAATGTCAAATGAACTTTCCAGGAAACTCACTAGGAGGGTGAGCTGTAAAGTCGAGTGAGGGGGAGAAATGGGCATCCCCATAGTGAGATACTGCCCTGACGCCACATCCTGACTGACCTCTACCCAGTACTGCAGGGTGGAGGAAAGCTGGGAGCAGGGACTCAGAGAATGCCTGCATTTATGCATCACGTCCCTGAGCCTCAGACCTAGAATACCCAGGACACAAAGCATTTCAATCAGGAAAAATAAACTCAAAAGGACTGAAACACAAGGAAGGTTCTTCACTCTTTCTATAACCACGCGATATTGATAGAGTCAAACTAAATGTAAACCCATCCTCCAGAACTCAGCTTTTCTCGGTCCTGAGGATTCTTAAGAAGTATGGGTAAAGATCAGACCCTGGAGGAAGTGACCCCCCTGGTTCACCCATCCACATGGTGGCCAAGGAGATTATCGCATGACTAGCCTCTCCTGGGGTGAAGAAGCAAACAGTCCATCCTACCCCAGGCCCACAGCAAAAGGGAGGGGCAGCCTGGGCCAGCACCCAGTGTCCATTTGGGATCTTGTCCAGGCACCACAGTGTGCAACTGACTGGGGTCAGCAGCGTGCTGAGAATGCACTCAGCGAGCTTCCCCACTCTCCCCAGCTCTTGAGGCAATGCTGAACACCCAGGCCGTGCCTTTAAAAGCTTTTCTCAAGTGTAAGGAAGGCAGCTGAGCTGGTAGAGCACTTGCTAAGGATTCACAAAGCCCTAGGTCCCGTCTGCAGCACCTTGTAAACTGAGTGTGGCCATACGTGTCTGCCATCCAGCACTGAGAGGATGAGGCCGGAGGATCGAGAGTGTTTTTTTTAATTTTTTATGATTTATTTATCTTTATTTTATGTGCATTGGTGTGAAGGTGTCAGATGCCCTGAAACTGGATTTTCAGACAGTTGTGAGCTGCCATGTGGGTGCTGGGAATTGAACCCAGGTCCTCTGAAAGAGCAGTCAATGCTCTTAACCTCTGAGCCATCTCTCCAGATCAAGAGTTCTAAGTCATTCCTGCTGCATGGTGAGTTGGAGGATAGTTTGCGACCCTGTGGGGAAGTGAAAGGAGAGTTGAAGCTACTATCTATCTATCTAGCTATCTATCTAGCTATCTATCTAGCTAGCTAGCTAGCTAGCTATCTCACACCAAACCACACACACACACAAACCCTGAGCATCCTCCTAAGGACCAACAGACAGCATCTCTTTTCACATCTCTCATGGTACCAGGTGCAGAACATTACCCCACCTCCAGGTGCATCTCTGTCTATTGCAGTCTATTCCACTTTCCCCAAAGGCACAAGGAGGTCCAGTCCATTGGTCAAGACCAAAGAGTCAGCTCTTGCACTAGTAAGCCTACACCCAGCCATCCACAGCCATCCAGAGTACCTTAGAATTTTTCGAACAACAGGAAGACATTTTGAAAAATAGCAAGAAAGAAAAGCAAGGGGGAGTACATTCTTCCAGACAATACACATGGCTGCACAGTGCCAGAACTGGACGTCACTTTGTATGGGAGACAGATGCCAGGGTGGATGGAAATAAAATGCACAGAAACACAGCCAGATATGCATGGAGTCTGGTAGATGAGAAGGTCTCCTTTAGAGACAGTAGGGGATTTCAATCTCTGATTGGCTGATTACAGATAATTAAAAATCCCAGTGTGGGCCTGGGAATAGCTCAGTTGATAAGATGCTTTTGGCAGAACCATGAGGCCCTGAAATCGATGGCCAGAACCCATATATAAGCTGGATCTGGTGGCATGTGCCTGTCATCCCAGTGTTGGGGAGACAGAAACAGGAGGATCCCTGGTGGTAGCATGTGCCTGCCATCCCAGTGTTGGGGAGACTGAAAAAGGAAGACACAAAATAAGGTGGAAGGCTGGGTATGGCAGCACATGCCTTAAATCCCAAAACTCAGGAAGTAGGGGCAGGTGGATCTTTGTGAGTTCTAGGCCAGCCAAGTTATCCAGGGCTACATTGTGAGATCTTGTTTCAAACTAATAATAATGTGGAGAGAGATAAGGGGAAAACACTTACCTCTGGTCTTTACATGTATGCACATAAACATGCATGTATATACACACACATTAAATAAATAAGCAAAATATAATAAAACCTTAAAAGAATTAAAAAGAATTGACATAAGTAATGGTGGTGCTGCAAGGCTGAGGAGAACAAGCTGTTCCTAAACTGCTGGTGACAACAGGGACACCAGATGTACGTATATCAGAAGCAAATGCTGCTGATGTGTCCCCCTAGCTATCAGTCCCAGGCCATCATGCCCATTGGGCCAAGAAAAGTCAAGAATATTTGACTCTGTTCTTAGACAGTTGTAGAGTGTTCCACGAACAATAAGAAATCACACGAAATAGGCAGAAGCCATTGAAGGGGAAGTGTGCGTGCAAAGTGCAGGAGTTCAGCCTACGACTAAATATATGGCTTAGAGAGATGGGCAAAACCTCACGACCCAGAGAACATCAAATGCCAACTCGTGTGCCAAGGGACTTTGGGAGGATAAAGCCATGCGCTATGAATGCAAAGAGCATCCCTGTAGAGGACACCGTGAGAGCATGCCTCACACCATCAGGTGACCGGCCTTGACACCAGCACCTTGGAGAACAAAAACCTTGCCTGTGACCTGAGGGAGCGTGAAATGTGCAGCTGCTTTGGGAAAAGCCTGATGGCTCCTTAAAAAAATCAGACGTGGAATAGTGCAGGATCCCAAAGCACCCGAAGTATGTTTTACCCAGGTGTTTGCACCCCCACGTTCCCAGCAGCCTCATTCACCCCAGCCAAAAAGAGGAAAACAACCCAGTTACCAGGGGCAAAGCACCGCAGACAGAAGCAGTGAAACTACACCTGCCTTAGCGAGGAAGGGAGGTGTGACACCCGAGACACCACGCATGACACTCAAGGCCACTATGGAAGGTGAACTAAGCCAGTCACAAACAGGCAGTGGCTCTGACTCATTCTGTGAGGTATCCAGAGTAGTCACATTCTGTTGTGGAATATTAATTGAAGATGTGTTACATTTTTTCATACTGGGGAACATCCATTTAATGGTGCAAAGGTGTCTTTCATTCTTTTATGTTGCATTTGTTTAACTCTGTGAAGCTGTGTTACTTTGCCTGTCTAAAACACCTGATTGGTCTAATAAAGGACTGAACAGTCAGTAACTAAATAGGAGAAAGGATAGGCGGAGCTGGCAGGCAGAGAGAATAAATAGGAGGGGAAATCTGGGAAGAGGATCAAGGAGCGAGAAAAGGAGAAGAGGAGGACATCAGGGGCCAGCCACCCAGCTACACAGCCAGCCACAGAGTAAGAAGTAAGAAAAGGTGTATAGAAAAGAGAAAGATAAGGGTAAAAATGCAAAAGGTAAATGGGATAATTTAAGAAAAGCTGGCTAGAAATAAGCCAAGCTGAGGCTGGGAATTCATAAGAAAGTATTTATGTATTTATTTAGGATTTCATTTAGGAACTGGGTGTCAGTCGTGTCCCCTCCCCCCCAGAGAGTAAAGAGCCAAAAGGGTAAAATGCAACTATAACAACATTCCTACAGCATGGTGGCGTGGATGAGAATGGCCGCCAGGGGCTTGAGTTTAGTATTCAGTGCCAGTTGGTGAAGCTGGGAGGGATAAGGAGGCAGTGTGTTCGCTCTGCCTCCTGCTTGTAGATCAACACGGGTGCTCTCAGCTGTCCCTGCTGCCATGCCTTTGAGCTACCAAGGTGGACTCGAACCCTCTGAAACTGTGAGCCCAACGAAATGCTTTCTTCTGTCAGCTGCTCTGGCCATGGTGTTTCGTCATAGCGACTGGAAAGTGGCTAAGTTATACAGGAAGTAGAACAGTGAGTTCCCAGGACTGGAGAAATGGTTCCGTTGGTTTCATCCCCAGAATCCATGTCAAAAGCTGGACAAGCTGGCTTGTGCCTCTAACCCAGTGCTGGAAAGATAGGGAGGATCTATAGGACCTGCTGGCAAGCCAATCAAATAAGCCAGTCCCAGGTCTCAGTGAGAGACCTGCCTCAAATAAAACAGAGTGGGCAGCTGCTCTGAGGACTAACGTCTGAGGTGGGGCACAGCCGCTTGCCCTCTGGAGCTGTGTGTGATTCTGCCCTAGTTGAGAACACAGAGGCCAGAGGTTACCTGAGAGAATTCCATCTATGCAGTCACAGTGATGATGTCATCCATGCTGGGGCATGACTTTTCAATGAGGTAACTGGAGGGGGGGTGTCACCCAGGCCCTGGGCATAACCTCTCACCCACACTTCTTCAAGTAACCCCCAGTAACCTCCTGGATTCTCAAAGCAGCCTTTAGTGGGGTTGTCACGAGGTCTGTCATTGATGTCCTGTCTGGTGTGAGTAGACCTGTGTTCTCCTTGTGGCTATAGAAGCCCAGAAACACACGTCAGGATTCCTATCATATCCCAAGAAAGGGCCCTGCTTAGTGGCCAAACACAAGATAGCCCAGACTATCTTCCATAGACACTAAACAAACGGACTCAGGAGGGGTGACAGTGGCCAAGGGCCATGCAACACAAAACTGTGACACGTGAGGGTGGTTATTTAATATCATACTTTGAAAAAGCAGGGCAGACAACTTCAAACAAAACATGACTGGAAACGTGTGGAAA